ATTCGGCGGGGTTGGGTTCTCTAGGAAGAACAAGATTGTCAAAAAGGCCTTATACCAAACACTTCATAAGGACTATGGGACCAGAATATTCAATTTGTAACCTTAGGGATCCAAGTATACAAATAATACCTACATTGGGCCCCAAAGTCTGTAAATATTACCTACATTGGGCTATTTGGATCCCTAGGGTAATCTTAACACAATTGGCACGAAGTGTTGGTGACGTGCTTCGACAGATGAGGCCTTGAGGAGATCGTCACTGCGGCACTTAGCTGGTGACGCTGCCTACAACCCAAGACTTAAAGCCCAAAAGCTAAATTCTAAGCCGCCTAAACCTTAAATCCTAAAAACAAATCCCTGCAACCCAAGACCTAGTCCCTCCAGCCTAAATTTTAAACTCAAAACGTAACACCTAAAGCCTAAACATTAAATCCTAGACCCCAAATCCTGATGCACTATAAAGATGTTATCTTCATAACAAGGCCCCAAAACCCTACCCTAAACTGCCTATATGTATATGTATATATGCCTGTGTATATATATACATATATATATACTAACCACCACTCACTTTGAGGGGACAAAAGAGTGAGGCTGAGAGTCTCCTCCGCGAAGCCACCTCCATGATCAATGATGGCCAGCAGCTACAGCAGGGTAGGCAGGACTGTTCTGTAGTCCAGGGTTTAGGGTTTAGGGGTTTAGAATTCAGGGTTTAGGGTTTCGGGGTTGAAGTGTTAGGGTGTAGGGATCTGTAGGGTTTAGGGTTAGGGGTTTAGGGGTTTCGAGTTTAGGGTTTAGGGGTTTAGGTCTTGGGGTTTAGGGGTTCAGGGTTAGTCTTCTCAGGAAGTTTGGCATTGTTACTATAGTATAAGTCTGAGGAATGATCAGAAATATCTCTTCTAGGTCTGAGAAGATTGCAGTTTTTGGGATAGGGTTCAGAATTAGGGCTTAGGGTATAGTTTAAGATTTGTTTGTTGCGACGGTTAGGGTTCTAGGGCTGAGGATATCAAGTTTCAGGTTTAGTTTCAGGACTTTTTGCGGGGTATTCGAGTTTAAGGGCTTAGGATTTCTGGTTTACTGTTCGGGGTGTAGTTTCTGAGCCCGCGTTACGGATCCTTCATCTTTCTTTGGGTATGGGTCCCCTAATCATCCACAGTAATGATTAGAATATATGCATTGTTCCTCATGTAGCTTCTATTTCCCTCCACACGTGTTGTTCCACACGGTTAAGGGTTTAGGGCTTAGGGTTTAGGGTTTAGGGTTGAAGTATATCATTCCCAGAGGGTCCAAGTACCCAATAATTAGGTACTTGGGGTTTGGGTAATAGTAATTATGGTACTTGTTTTGGGTAAGTATATGATTATTAGGTACTTGGACCCTTAGGGATTATTGGGTATTTCGAACCCTACCTTCGGCATTGAAATGGGGGAAAGGTAGGTACTCGGACAAGACTTCAGGGCCCAAAGTAGATGTGATTTATAGACTTGGATGCCTAGGGCAAGGAGTGGGTGTACAGCGAGGGCTTGGAGGCTCGTACAGAGAGGCTTATGATTTCAAAGCTACGGCAACATGTTCCATGCTGTACGGTCTGATGCTATCCTAGGAAATTGCTCAAGACGCTGGTGTGGGTACCTCAAAGGAGGTTGTGCAGTTAGAGTAGGCTAACTGGAAACTATCAATGACGTCGAGTTACAGCTCTAGCAGTAGCATACTGGCCTTTTGGGCAATCTTTTGCGGTTTTGGGCTATTGTGCTACCTACTTTTGGGGTTCACGTTAGGGTTCAAGGTTTAGGATCCCATTGCCGCCTCATCAAGAAGTCCCTGTCGTCTACTGTAGCTGACAAACTGGCGTCAGTCCACATGGGCCTATCGCTCCTCCGTCCTGAATGGTGTCAGCGACCAAGAAAGAGGGACGCGCTACCAAGGTTTAGCGAGCGTCCTTGCCCGAAGCCCTGGATCGTGAACATGCTATCTGGGCGGAAAGAAGCGCAGGACATCCAAATGCCTTGGCGCAACCATTCCCTAAGGGTTTAGGGCTTAGGGTTTTAAAGGGTCCAAGGATCCAAATAATGGGGTTTGAGGGCCCAAGTACCAAGAATGTTAATGCTATTTGGGCCCTGAAGCCCTATTATGTGGGTCTTTGAACCCTTTAGGGATTTTTTTGTCAATGCTCGATGCGGTGAATAATGGTTTATAAATTCCTTAGAGGGGTGTTATATAGCGGATTATATAGGGGACTACTGTAGGGGTGATTAACGGGGATACTAGGAGTTTTGACTACAGCTCACCTGTTGCAGCAATATTGACCCCCCCTGTACTCCCTTTTCCTTTTTCGCGGTCTGAGGCCCGCATCATTCTTGCTCGCCCGAGAACTGTCCACAA